CTAAATGAGTGTTGTGCCAGGACTCACACAAATCAATAATCCCAGTTTATCACTGAACAAAAAGGGTACATTCTTTACATTGTACTGTTCATACTATATATTCTTTACATTGTACTGTTCATACTATATATTTGTTACGTTGTACTGTTCAGAGTACCAAAATTGTGGTATATACTGGGAGGAAGCACAAAAATATTGTAAGTGGCCAAAAAAAAAAACCCTTAAACTTTATTCTCAATGATACAAAAATAATAATGGTCCACTTAAAAAGAAAATATAAACAATATTAAAAAAGGGGTATAAGAGGTGGGTGGTGTCCAGGTAAGGAAGAGGGTATTTACAAAGAGAGGTAGAAGGTCTGCATCCTTAAACTAGGCTCATCCAAATCTCGTCTGTACACTGTGTCACAAAACACCAGAGAGCGAACCAGGAGATTGCAAAAGATAAAGGTACTACAAATTCCCCATTAATAAAAAATCTTTTGCTGTCCCTATATACCTCGGCACCGCACAGAGCTAATGCCTACCTGAACCATTAACCCTGACCACTCAAAACAAAAATGCACACATGCATAGTACTACCCAAGTGCAAATTGAAAGTAAACGTGCTAAAATGCCGTCATCTGTCCTGTTCAAAATATATTTATATTATACATAAGGCATGTGGTTTTGATCAAATTACAATTAACTTAAATTTAGACCAACCAGTAGTTCGGAATGAATTCTGTATTTCCGAAGGGCTATATAGACGAATAACTGAGCAAGTGACTGGCACGATGATGGAACACACTCATCTGATTCTGTATTCAGTTACATACATGGAACAAAAAAACCAAAAAAGAGGCGACTGATGAGTAAAAAAGATAATCAGTATCTCTTCCACTGTTCAAAACACTCTGTAAAATCCTTTGTTGGAAACGCCATCTGATGCCTCATCATACTTACCTGAATCTCATCGACGGTCTGAAATCTCTACCCTTTGAAAAATTATTTGAGTTTTGGGAAAAGCCAGAAGTTGCAGGGTGCCAAATTTTTCAACAGATTCTTGACCATCTTTAAATTGTGTGTGCCAAACCTTTGTTTGACCTACACTCATTGCATTGATGCAATTCATCTGAATAGTTTCCGTGGAGGAATGTTTAAGTTTAACACAGAATGTGATGCAGATTCACTGATCTATTCGCTCAGTCATTTTGAATACGACAGCCACACAGTACACATGCGCACACAATGGCATCTAGCACTCCCACTGGCTAGTATAGTGAAGTCGTCATTGTTCACACATGTGCATTCCAATCCACTCTCCTTGGCTGCCAGGTTACATCAATGTCAGCCAAACCGTTCTCATCATATTACCAATTCCCAGATTTTTTTCGGACAGACCTTGTATATACAATAAATATATATATATTTAACATTACACTGATTGACCCCCTTTGGTTTGTCCAAAAAGTTTTGCAAAATATTTTCATGGACATCATACGAGACAAACCATTAGCTGAACAGTGTTGGAGGTCACAAATTTAATTTCCGGAAAAAATGGTTTGGCCAAACCAAATTTTTCTACCACGCACAAGTCTAACTCATATGATTAATTGGCATGTTAAAATACTTCTCAATTTATGTCATTTAACACATGCTACCTTTTCCAGGAACCCAGTCCATTGTCCGAGGACTGAATGTATTCTCACTCAGCAAATACCTTTGTTTTAAGGAATAGATACATGTCAGTCATCAATTCCATTTAATAGGGGGATTAATAGTTGAGATCTAAGCTGTTTTGATAACAGCTCCCATGCATTATTGTTTCCTGTTTTGGAGATGGTAAAATATTTTTGAACAGCTAAATGTATTTCTTCCGTGAGTCACTGATAATTGCACTTAAAATTGAGTTAATTGGGTTTAACCCTTTCACTGGCAATAAGGTGCATACACAGGTGTAAGAGATACCTCATAGCATTCCAACAACACAGTCCTCCTAAGGTGGACTTGCTCAAATCACTTTAGCAGATGTCTACTAAGGTGACATTTTTCACAAGAAGATTCTTCTTGGTAGAAGATTGAAGAGATCCAGTGGTGTCACCTTAGTACACAGCTACTAAAGTGATTTGAGTCTATCCACCCCAGGCTCTGCACTGTATGAGTGTTTTCACCTTACTTACCTCTCATTTCCTATTGGTCATGTAGAATTACTGTGTGTGTGTGTGTGTGTGTGTGTGTGTGTGTGTGTGTTTGTGTGTGTAAAGGTGGATCGTAACGAAAGGACCAATCAGGTGAGTGTATAAGGTAAAGGAAATGTCACCTTAAAACTTATCAAAACACCTGCAGCAATATATGAATATTATGTTGATTTTAATTGGAAAGTGTGACAAATCCAGGTGCAATAATTGTACCTAATATATTATAATAATAATAATAATAATAATAATAATAGTAATTTAGTCAGTCTTCCATCAGTACAAGAAGAATTAGTGCTTTATCACTTTATCATGGTCAGCACCTATATTTACCTAAATCCTATAAATACACCAGTATTACTTATCACGGAGCCAGTGCAAGGTAGTTTGTC